AGAGAATCCGCCTGCAATGCGGGAGACCTGAGTTCGATCCCTGGGTTGGGAAGACTCCTTGGAGAAGGGAAAGGTTACCCGCTTCAGTATTCTGGCCTGGAGAATTCCATGGACTATACAGTCCATGGGTCACAAAGAGTTGGACAAGACAGAGCAACTTTCACTTCACATAACTGACTTACAATACTGTGTTAATTTCAAGTTTACAGCAAAGTGATTCAGTTTTACATATATATATATATATATATATATTCAGATTATTTTCCATTATAAACTATTACAATATATTGAATATAGCTCCCTGTACTATACAGTAAATCCTTATTGTTTTATGTGGTTTGTATCTGTTAATCTCATACTTCTAAGTTATCATCATCATCTTTTCTATTTACCCTATTGTATGGAGCCCATCAGCTTCCAGATGTCAGTTTCTTGCTTCAACTGCCAAGCCCTGCAGCAGACAGTGTTGCTTTGGGGAATTTCAAAGGGAAGAGTCTCAGGACAAGTGGTCCTGGAAGCTGTTAGGGCCTTACCTGAAAATTCCTCAACCCATGTCAGCTGTCTATGAGCCCCAAGGTTCCAAGCTGCCAGGGCAAAACTTTTTACCAAGTCCAAGCTCATAATGCTCATAGAATGACAGATTAATAAATCGAGAGACAAGCTGTTGGGGCAAGGAATAACAACTTTATTTGCAAAACCAGCAGGCCATAAAGGTGGTGAAACTAGAGTCCCAAGGAACCATCTTTTATATTATTAACTTTTAAGAAAAAGACTGGGGCAAAAACTTACTAGGCTACCTACTATAGCAGGGTAAGTTGTTCAGACTTACAATAAGCAAATAATTGAGCTTGCCATTCATTTCAATCAGGAAGTCCCACTGAGGAAAACACATCCACTTTATCTTGGTGGAAGGCAGGAAGAAAGTTATTCATTTTTAAGTTTTTAATTAAGTGGATTTTCAGATTGAGTATTTGACTTGTGAATGCCTAGTGGCCTTAAACTGCAAAGAAATGAAACCCTAGTCAGATCTGTACATTTTCAGGGATATTTGCCATAACAGCTAAATTTTCACAGTCCTTATTAGAATTGGAAATGTTTTTCCCAAGCTGAGCACATTTAAAATGCATTTTTATAAGATTTCAAACTAACACTTTTCTGAATCAAAATTAAAGACCAATATGATATAACCTCAATGATCCATTATTGCTTACTAAATAGATAGTACATATTTCAAAATAATTAACTGAGATTATATAACTGGCAATGTAATAATCCCAAAGAATCAACTGTGATTACAGTAATTTTTCTAATGAAAACAACAACAGAAAAACTAGTCATTAGTGTCCTGAAAGTGAGAAGTGGCACCACTCTACCTCTCCCCGTTTTACATTCAGTGTGGTGTACACTATATTACATACTGTCAATTTCTGCCACAAGAGTCCACTTCTAATTTGTTCACAGTTTATTTTCTCCCTCCGTACAGATTTTTTTAAATTTTAAATGCATTTTTCATTAACTGTCATAATCATATGATCCCCCCATAACCTGTTCAAGCAGTGATTTAAGTAACTTTTTCTTATATTAAAGAATCTTAGGTTCTTGGAATAACTCAACTAGGTCATGTTATATTCTTTTTATGTATTTCAGGGCTAGGCTTGCTAGTATTTTGGTTAAAATCATGGCATCTATGTTCATAGAGGAGATGGCCTCTAATGATTTCCTTTACTGGTACTCTCTTTAGGGATTTGGATCATTTAACCTGGCCTTAAAATGAATTAGGTATGCTACCTCTCTTACTATTCTCTAAAACCCTATATAAAAAACCTTGGTTGAATTTCCAGCAGAAAAACAAAAAAGAACACCTCCAATATTTTTCTTTACTTTGTCAACTAACTTCCTGATTTAAAATTTTGGGGGGTTTAAAAAGCTTTGAGTAGTGATGGCTGCAAAACAACGTGAACGTATTTAATGCCTCTGAACTGTATACTTAAAAATGGTTAAAACGGTAACGCTTATGCTATGTATATTTAATCACAATTTTTCAAAAGTAAGAGAAAAATAAAAGGAGAGAAAGAGGAAAGGGGGGAAATGAAAGAGAAAAAAGAAGTGGAAAAGATGGACACTTGCAAATAAACAGAGCAGTCTGAGCACCTGCTGGCAGGCAACCTTCAAGAACAGGCTGCTGGGAGGCAGGCACGGCTCACTCAGGCCACCAGCAAAGCGAGGACCTGCAGAGGGCACAGGGGGCAGGCCAATCCTGGAACAGGAATACGGCCCCCGCCATACACTCATACAGAGTTCTGTCTCTAATCTAAGATGTGTGGTGACACAAGGATGTCCTCCACACTTCCTAAAACTTGGGCTGCATCTAAATGTCCCTCTATTTCCATACCCAGGGCTCCTTCGAGAAAGAAGAGAGTTAAGTTTCCTTCATACCATGTAGGTCAATATTCTCTTAAAAATGGAATTAAGCTAACAGCAATATTTGAGATTTGGTTAATAGCAAACCAATATATCACTACTGCAGAGAAAAAAGATAAAGCAAAGGTGCTTCAAGGCAAAGACCATGAGAAATCCAGTGAGCCTCTTGGCTTTGCAGTTCTCTTAAGAGTATTGTTTAGTGTCTGAAAAGCATATTTTGTTTTCCAGAAAATATCTTTGACCATAATTCCAAAGTAATAAAGTGTGTTCAGTCCAGCTTCTAAATTTATAGCTATAAATGTAAATTATAAGATGTGCATGAGTTCTAAGTTACTTCAGTCGTGTCTGACTCTTTGCAACCCATGGACTGTAGCCTGCCAGGTTCCTCTGTCCATGGGATTCACCAGGCAAGAATACTGGAGTGGGTTGCCATGACCTTCTCCAGGGGATCTTCCTGATTCAGGGATCGAACCTGTGTCTCTTGAGTCTCCTACATTGGCAGCTGGGTTCTTTACCACTAGCACCACCTGGGAAGCCCACAGTACTTCTTTAATGTGTAAACTTGAGGGGCGGATTTTTCAAAAAATGATTAAAAACCAAATAAGCTCTCTTGAAAATATTTCTTATGAATATAACAAGCACCACTGAATGTAACTGTATTCCACACTGATCCAGTTTATGTACCATACCTTAAGTGTATTTTCATAGTGATGATAGTCTATAGCAATGGTTCACCATGATAAATTTTCAACAAGGATTTGCTGAATGAATGAATGAGAACCAAGCCTTAACTGGAGTCTGTTTTGGTAACAGGGAGATGAAAACATAGGCTGAAATCTATTTTTTTAGAACTATCATGGCCTTAACTTGATTGCTTCTACAACAGAATAAAGTCTAATATCTTTGGAATTCAACATAATAAGACCCATTAGACTTTCCCCCAGAAAAAAATTAAATGACAGGGAGGAAGGAGAAGGAAAGGGGAGGAAGGAGAAGGAAAGGGGAGGAAGGAATACCTTTCTATGCTAGAAGCAAACTCTCTCATGATGCATGGCTTCAATTAGATTTCAGGCAAGCTCAAAAGCCCCCACTCTCACTTTAATCTCAAGTGTCAAAAGAAAACTGAGATGAAATATTTCTATTTTTATAAAACCGATTTTCCTTTATCTCAGGGAATATGGGATAAGGTCACTTAAACATGATTTTTCTCATTCTTTTCTGCAGTGTTTCACCTAGCATAACATACTTGTTGGGGCAGTCAAGTGCTACAAAAAAGAAAAACACTACACAGGCAGTGATTCCTATAGAAATATGTTATAGGTTGCATTACACCCCCTTACAAATTATATGGTGAAGTTCTAACCTCTCATACCTCAAATTGTTACTTTATTTGTAAATATAATTAGTAAAGATGAAGTCATGTTGGGGTAGGGTGGGCTCTTAATTCATTATGACTGTTATCCTTATATAAAGAAGACAGGGACAGAGACCAGCAAACAGGGAGAATACATGTGAAGACTGGAATTACGCTACCAGAAGCCAGAAGAGACACCCGGAGCAGACACCTCCCTAGCACCGTCAAAGGGACCTCTGGCATCTAGAACTGTGAGACAATAAACACCTGTTGTTCTAAGACTCCAGCTGGCTGTAGTTTGTTACTGCAGCCTCGAGCAAACTAGTACAGACAATAAGAGGCTAATGTGTACCAACCAGCCCCCCGTTGGCTTCAAACTGCACTTCAGATTCAGCTTCTCGCCCTACGGCTACTGAGCTGCAGCCACAGGGGCCTGGTCTCCTGACTTCAGGCTCTACCTCTTACCTGCTTCAGCTGCCAAACCCACCACCACATCAACCTTTCAAAGGTGCCAACTTCTTTGCACCACTTGTTAAAAAGTCTTGTAATGACTCACCACTTCCTAGAGGAAAAAGCTCAGATTCTCCTGCCTCAAAAACAGGCCTCTCTCCCCTAAGCTAGGTCCACCTGGTAGGCAAGAGTTTGAGAAACCCTGAAGGATACAACCATTATTCCTGAAGACATGCTCCCTCCACTGTCTGCCATTCTCTCGCTTCACCAACCCACATCTTGACCATCCCGTGAAGACAACTGCTAATACCTGCTTTCGACTTGAAACTCTATACTCAGGCCCTCAATAAATAAAGGCCACATCTCTGGCTGCTCTGCCTCTGCTGCTTGAATCAGACATTCTGTACTCATCCAAGACTGCCTTGCACAGTTACCTAGCATTTTAAAAGTACACACTTTGATTCCTCTGCGGGATTGCTGGACTATGAGCTCTGGAAGGACAGAATTCATCCTTTACAACTTTGGGGGTATTTTGCAAAGCCAAAGACAAGGCCAAGCATGTTAAACCTAAGTTCCAAATTCTTGTTAATGATTCAACATATATTTTAAAGTCTTAGAAATGTTTATTTTGGCTTTCCCTTCAACTGGGACTTTAAAATGGAACAATATACAGATTTCATATAATCTTAATGCTTCCACATATATCTGAATAATTTAAAACTTAAAAGAACAGGAGGAAAAAAATCTTTAGGACGTTTAGTCCCAAGTTACTTACCATTCTTCATCACTACATTGGACCAGACGTTGGCATTCAAGGCTTGAACAATTCGCTTTACTCCTGTAGATTCTGGGAAGTCATCTAATCAGGGAGGGGGGGAAAAAGTGTATTTACACATACATAAATATTTATATATATTCATCCCTCAGTATTCATGAAGGACTGGCTCCAGGACTCTCTCCCCACCATAGATAACAAAATCTGCAGATGCTCAAGTCCCTTATATAAAATGGTTTCGTATTTACATATAATCTACCTGCCAATCAATCCCTGGGTCCAGAAGAACCCCTGGAGAAGGACATAGCAACCCACTCCAATATTCCTGCTTGGAAAATCCCATGGACAGAGGAGCCTGGCAGGCTGCACAGAGTTGGACACAACTAAAGTGACCTAGCACATAATCTACCCACATCATCCCATATATCTTTTTTCCTCCCATATACTTTAAATCATCCCTTGACTTCTTATAATACCTAATACTATGTAAACTTTTTGGAACCCTCTGGATTTTTTTTTCCTGAACATTTTCAATGTGCTGTTGGTTGAATCCATGGATGCAAAACCCTTAGATACAGAGGGCTGACTATATGTGTCTATCTAGGACTGTGGGCCACAGTCCACACTTTAAATAACTGACAATTATCTTGCCCATTTAGCTGCTATTTCACACTACAACTTACGTAAAAGGGAAAAAAAAAAACTAAGAAAATACAAAGCTTGGAGCTCCTGATAAGAATATTCTAGAAACTGGAGAGTGAACAAGATGGCAGAGGATAAGGATGTGGAGCTCACCTCCTTCAACAAATAGGTCAAAAATACATCTACACGTGGAACAATTCTCACAGAACACCTACTGAACACTGGCAGAAGAACTCAAGACTTCTGAAAGGGGAAGAAAATTTCCACATAACCAGGTAGGACAAAAGAAAAGGAAAAAAGAGAAAGGAATCAGGACAGGACCTGCATCCCTGGAAGGGAGCTATGAAAGAGGAAAGGTTCCAATATCCTGGGACGTCGCCACACCAGCAGAGTGATCAGCCAGGACAGAGTGGGAGCTTTGGAGCCTCAAAGGAGAGTGCAGCAACTGGCCGGAGAAGGCAAAAGAGAGACCTACACAGACAGCAGGCGTGCCGCCCTGCACGGCCCAGTCTGACATGTGTCTGCCGGTGCGGGTGGGGGCTGGCTGCGGCACCTCAGGCTCTGGAGGCCAAACTCAGGGGGGGTGTTGGGGCTGGCTGTGCAGAGACGGCCTGAAGGGCTGCAGTATGGCACGCCCACAACCAAAGGCGCACGAGGAAGCAGCCTGGACCCGCCACAGAGGCAAGTGCCACTGCAGGGGCCACGCGAGGGGAACGGCAGGGCTGCTTTAAGAGCCTCTTTCCCTGCACACACGGTCTCAGACTTCAGGACACTGTATGCAAGCTCTGGGGGCAACACAAACCATGACAGGCACAGAGAGATCCAAAAGCAGGCGCCAATCACCGCCGCTGCCACTGTGGGACCTAGGAGTGCACAGGAGCTGCTGCCATGGGCCCCAGGAGTGGGTACCAGCCAACGCTGCCAGCGGCCTGGGAGAACACGTGGATCACAGCATCTGTGCACCCCTATCAAGGGGGTAAGAGCCGGCACATGCTGAGGAGAGGCGGAAGGCATCCACATAAAAGCAGCCCCTGCATGGAAAACATGAACCCCACGCAAGCTACACAGAGATGCTCCCACAAATAAACAGCCTTCCAAGGCCACAGTATGTCAGTTTCTCCTAAACTCAGAGTAAGAGAAATATATGCAAAATGAAGATGCAGAGCAACCACTACCAGTTAAAAGACCAACAGAATTCCCCTAAAAGAACAATTAAACAGACTTCTTCAGGGTAATAGACTCCAAGTTCAAAAAAGAGGTAATGAACATACCAGAGGAATTAAGAAAGGCTATCGACAGAAATGCATATTACTGTAAAACAAACAAATAACTAGAAACTATGAGGAGGAGGCAAGAAAATTAGAAAATTCATTTGCCAAGATTAAAACCAAGATAAAGGCAATGACTAGCAGAATGAAAAAGTGAACTGGAAAACAGAATAATGAAAGTCACCCATTCAGAACACAGTAGACAGAAAGCCAAATGAAAAAAAAAAAAAGTGAAAATAATATAAAATACCTCCTATGGATAACGTGGGCTTTCCCGGTGGCTCAGTGGTAAATTCTTCTGCAATGCAGAAGACACAAAAAATGTGGGTTCAACCCCTGGGTCAGGAAAATTCCCTGAAGAAGGGCATTGCAACCCACTCCAGTACTCCTGCAGGGAAAATCCCATGGACAGAGGTGCCTGGCAGGCTATGGTTCATGGGGTTGCAAAGAGTTGGACATGTCTAAACCAACTGAGCACGCATGCATGGGATAACATAAAAGTGTGCCACTCTATGATAACAGGGACTTCAGAAGGAGAAGAAAGAGAAAAGGGGATTGAAAATGTGTTTGAAGAAATTATGGCTGAAAGCTTTCCAAACCTAAAGAAGGAAACAGATATCCAGATACAGAAAGCACAGAAGTTCCTGAACAAGATGAACCCAGACCTATACCAAGACATACTATAATCAAAATGGCCAAAGTTAAAGACAAAGAGAAGATTCTAAATGCAATAAAAGAAAAGCAAAGAGTTAATTATAAGGGAACACCCATAAGGCTATAAGCTGATTTCTCTAGTCTGAAATAATGCAGACTAGAAGGGAGTGGATAAACATATTTAAAGTCTTAAAAGGGAAAAATATGCAACCTAGAATGCTCTACCCAGCAAGAATATAATTTAGAAGAGAAGGAGAGAGAAAGAATTTCTCAGACAAGGAAAAACTAAAAGAAAAGAGCAATATTAGACCTATTCTAGAAGAAATATTAAGGTCTTCTCTTATTATAAAAGAATCAAGAATATATAGGAAAGAAAATATCACAATTGTAAAGTAAATCATTTAAATAAGCCAGTATACAGATCAAAACGAAAAAAAAAAAGGCTTTAAATCTATTTATGAAAGCAATGATAAACGTAAGGAATAGCAAAAGGATAAACATGAAGATGTAACTGAGGACATCAAAATGATAAAATGCAGGGGAGCAGAGGAAGAAAATACAGATTCTTTCATTTGAGCTTATATGACTACCAGTCTAAAAGCAAGCAGATACAGGAAGGGGTTAACATACTTGAAAAACAGGGTCACCACAAATCAAAAACATACAACAGACTCACAAAAACCAAACAGAAAACACAAGCATAAAATAAAGGGAAATTATCAAACCACAAAATGAAAAACAAAGAGACAAAGAAGAAACAGAATCAACTGGAAAACAAGGTTTAAAGTGGAATTAAATACATATTTACCAATAATTTCCTTAAATGTAAACAGACTATTCCAATCAAGACACAGGGTGGTGGAATGGATTAAAAAAAAACAAGAGACTATGCCACCTACAAGGCACCCTTGTAGGTACTACAAGGCACTTTGCACTTTAGGGCAAAGAACACACAGACTGGAAGAGAGGGGATGGAAAAAGACATATCCTGCAAATGAAGATCACAGGAAAGCAAGAGTTGGCAATACTCATGTCAAACAAAAAAGACTTTAAAACAAAAGGCAAAAAGAAAAGTAAAGAAGGACACTATATGCACCCAATAAAGAAACACCCAAATACATAAAACAAATACTGACAGACATAAAGTGAGAAACTGATGGGAATACAATACCAGGTTGCCCAAAAAAATTCCTTCAATTTTTAAGTAAAAATAACAGACCCATTTTCCCTTTTCACCAAGAACTTTACTGAACATGTATTCACTATTTTGTTCTACTATCTTCTGCCATTTTTCAGGCAATCTCATAATTCCACCTTCCCAAAACTTTGTATCTTTTTGAGCAAAGAACTGTTCCAGGTGTCTTTTACAATCATCCAGGGAACTGACATTTTTTCCATTAAGAGAATTTTATAAAGACTGAAATAAATGGACATCCGAAGGTGCAATATCATCCAAAGGTGAATATAACAATGAATCAGAACTTTCCAGTCAAGTTGTAACAGTTCTTGCCTAGTCATCAAAGAAACATGTGGTCCCGAGTTATCCTGATGGAAGATGATGCATTTTCTGTTGACTGATTCCAGACACTTTCTGTCTAGTGTCGCTTTCACTTGGTCTACGTGGGAGCAGTACTTACTGGAACTAATTGGTTTTCCAAAAGGAGCTCATAGTAGAGGACTCACTTCCAATCCCATATATACACACCACCTTCTTTGGATGAAGACCAACCTTTAGTGTGGTTGGCAGTGGTTCCACGATCTCTTGTTCTCTGTTCTCTTCCATTACACATTATTGTACAGTATTCACCTTTCACTGATTGTCACAAATTGTTTTTAAAATGGAATGTTTTCATTACGTTTAAGTAGAGTGGCATGTGAAAATATGATCAAGAAGATTTTTTCCACTTATGTGGAACCCAAACATGAAAACCATAAGAGAGTACTATGAACAATTTAATGCCAACAAATTCAACAACAGAGAAGAAATGAACAAGTTTCCAGAAAAATACATGCCATTAAAACTGAATCAAGAAGAAGATAATTTGAAAAGACGGATCACTGGAAGTGAAAGAGAATCTGTAGTTGAAAAAACAAAAAACAAAAAATTCCCTACAAATGCAAGTCCAGGACCAGATGGCTTCACAGGCGAATTCTACCAAACATACAAAGAACTTTTACCGATCCTTGTCAAACTCTTGCAAAACACTGAAGAGAAGGAAACACTACCAAAGACACACTACGAAGCCACCATCACCCTGATACCAAACAAAACAAAGATACCACCAAAAAAGAAAATTACAGGCCAGTATCTTTGATGATATTATGGAGTACAAAATGAAGCAGGGCAAAGGCTAACACAGAGTATTCCCAAGAGAATGCACTGGTCATAGCAAACACCCTCTTCCAACAACACAACAGATGACTCTACACATGGACATCATCAGATAGTCAAAAGCAAAATGAGACTGATTATAATCTTTGCAGCCTAAGATGGAAGAAAAAACAACAGCTCTTCAAAAA